TTTTTAGTGTCCTGGTTGACTTTTTTCATATTTATGATCAAGAAGAATGATGTATTGCTCTTGTTATGGCTTATAATTATCATAATGGATGGTACTTGCAACTGAAAATATTAACTGAATGTGATAGTTCAGGTGGGATTAATATAATTGTGATTTTTATATAAACCTTTTTTAGTGTCCTGGTTGACTTTTTTCATATTTATGATCAAGAAGAATGATGTATTGCTCTTATTATGGCTTATAATTATCATAATGGATGGTACTTGCAACTGAAAATATTAACTGCAGTATTTGATTGTGCATACATTATACATAGCATATCTATTGCAGTAGTGGTTAAGTTGAAATTTACTTTGTTTCTGAATATTCTAGGTCACTTGATGAAGGATTGGCTGAGGCAATCTCTAGCCTTCTGTGGGTGACACCTCGACTCCAGACTGATGTAGCTGAGCTGAAGACTATCTCGGACCTGTTGACTTCAAAGTATGGAAAACCTTATGCTCAGGCTGCATGTGAGAATGCATTAAACACAGTTAATGAGAAACTTGTTCACAAACTCAGTGTTCAAGCTCCTTCCAGATTACTTGTGGAGAAGTATTTAATAGGTTTGTAGAAGTTCATGTAACCTATAACGAAAAAAGTATTTTACTGAAAATGTGTAAATTAAATTAATAACTACTTACAGGGTATAAACCCCATCAGCTTTTTTCAGCACATTTTTATACACTATGTATTCACTGCACTAACTTGCTTGTGGGTCTAGGGCTGTTGGTTACACGTACTTACAAAAAAAAGAAAATACCAAATTACATGGTTACATGTCCTCACAAAAAAATACCAAATTACATGGTTATATGCCCCCCCCCCCAAAAAAAAATTATGATCATTATCATTCATTACTGCTGAAGTCCTTTACATATTTTATATACAAATTAGAAATTTACCTTTTAATTATTAACATTGAGTAACATTATAATAGGCAAAAAAACAATAATAATGTCCTCCACCGTCAGTAGTAGCTAACTTAGTAAACTGTATGAAAACAAGTTAGTAATTTCAGAGTTAAATTATATTTGTTATATGTTTTGTTATATATAAATAGTGCAGTACAAATACTTTGTGTATCATCATCATCATCGTATATGGCTATTAAGTGAGAATATAGGTGTTCAGATCACACATCTGTCAAAGATTGAGGAAATTTTTCTGATTTGTATTTATATGGGTTAAAATCATGTACAGTTTATAGTGCACAATACCTTTCTGTTATTAGGAGAATTTTAATATACTTAGCTCTAAACAACTATACATTATGACTTAATTAGTTTTATGGTATTGGAAAGGTTACTTTATAGTGTTTTGGATACACATGAGATTGAACACTTTTTTAGTTGCAATGTTTGTAACTGTGTGTATGAATGTTTGTTAAGCTCTGTTCTAGAACTTTTGTTTTTTTTAAAGAGGGGTGAGAATATGGGTCCAACCCACACTCACTGCTAATGTGACAATAGTAAACAGTCTCTGGGTGATCTTAGAATATATTGCAACTGCTAAAACCGGAAGTACAAAATACATCAGCAGCAGCAGCATGTGATCAGTACACTATAGAAGAGAATCTATAATCACATCATTCATTACATCAGAAATTGCATGTTTGTGCATACTGCAGCTCAGTGGCAGCAAACTGATAACTCCAAAAAATGGCAAATGAGGTAGCAATCACTTTTGTTTCTCAGCAAGTGAATTTGTACATATGTCTAGAGTCTGCATAGAATGTGTATAACAAAAGTGCTCTACCCCAACTGTAAAAGGATACAGACAGTTTTATTTTGATGTGAGCAGCTGTATTTGTCATTGGAAACTTGATCTACTCATTCAGTTAAAGGTAGTATAATAGTTGATTACCGTAAGAAAGTTTTAGGAAACTAGCTTTGCCCTACATGTATTCGGTAGAACTTACTGGAAAATTGAATAATACTCCTTGTGAAACCTTTTAACCCCCTTACTGTTTCCAGTACATATACACTGACACTAAATTGACCACTATTATGACCTCAAACACACACTTTTAGAACACTCCATCTATTTACATATTCAATATAAACTGTGATTGTCATTGTCACAAATAGAAAAGCATAAATTCAGTGGTGCATTGATTGCAAGCTATGGAACATGAATATTTGGAAAATGCAGTGTGGTCTGATGAATTATATTACACTGTGCTTTACCTACTTATGGAGAAAACCACATGAAACACTGTATCGTCATTGTGCTAGAAGTGTTGTAATAGTATGGAGATCATTTTTGTGGGAGGTTTTTTTTTATTCCTTTTTAAAAGGTAAGTAACATCCAGAGTGTACCAGAACATTATTGCTGATCATGTTTATTCTACAATGTGAATGTAAAGTAACTCGTCCAAGACATTAATGGAACAATCTACCTTGCATATGTTGTAGGAAATTGGTTCATTTTCCTTGATTATTGTAATCACCTGATATCAGTTTGAGATGAAATACAACATTGCATTCACACTATAATCCTTTGTTGATATCTGTGGACCAATATTAGAACATACTCTTTGACAAGTGGGCCACAATTGAACGAAACATCTCTCAATCCGGAATCACGGTAATAGACCAATATTAGGTGGGTGGTCATAATAAAATGGCTAGGTAGGACAGTATAGGTTAGTTAGAACAGTTTTCAGATGTATGAATAACAATGTTATGTTGTAGACCTTAAAATTTAGCAATGTTATCAATTTATTAAGAACATTATTTCAGAAATTGCCAAGAGTCATGATGTACCTTATGAACCTGATATTGATGTCATGAAGGAGGAAGAAGCAATGGCTGAAGAAGCATCCCATAGCAACTTGATACATTTTGATAGTGATAGCAGTGGTCCTAATTATCCTCCAGGAGGAGGAGGGATGGGTGGTGGAGGAATGAACTATCCTCCCATGCAGTACCCAGCCAACCATCCAGCACCTCAGCCTTTCCAATACCCACCAACAGTAAGTAATAAGCTTTATTTTGTTCGTACAATGCATTTTATACACAATTAAATCAAGAACAATTTATTCCATTAAATCTATTGACCAAATATCATAACAAAAAAAATGTATTTTTAATGTATGGTTTAATAAAATTTATAATTTTTTTCTCCCCATCCAGTCATGTATACTTGATACTGTAATTACACTAACCTCACAAGTATACTATGTAGTAGTAAGATTTCTAATTACATATCAGTGAATAGCTGTTTTTTTTGTCATGCGATGAATACTGTTTTTTTTTTAGTTAAGTTGGGGTTACATAAGTGGGTTCGATTTGTCTGATAATATAATGAAAATAAAACATTTTTTTTATGTATCTGGTTTTACAAAATGTATATAAAAAAGATAAATAATATTTTACCATTTTAGCAAATGAAAAACCCCAATGCAGCCCCACCACTGCCAAATGTCCCTCCAAGTAGACCATATCCTTCTTTAAATACACCAATTGGCTTCAACTTGCCCCCCAACATTGATTTCAGTCCTGCTCCTCCATATGACAGTGTTGTTAGCAGTAAGCCTGAAAAAGTAAAGAATCAGAAGGATTTTGAACAAGTTAAACCTGAGCTTGCACCAAGGACAAAATTTCCGGTTGACACATTACCTGAACTGCCTTCTGTCCCAACAGATAGCCTTCCGAACTTCGATGCTTCACCTAATGCAAAGGCTGGGAATGATTCTGTGGATTTTGATGATCTAGCCAAGCGCTTTGATGAACTTAAAAAGCGCAAGTAATAGATAAACAAAAGTTAATCTATGTTTTGTTCTGTTGATCCTACTTTTATATTTTTCTTCAGTATTCTAAGAAACTTCTATACACCTAATACCTAGTTTTATACAGACTGGGAAAATGATAGATAAAAGAGCTTTGCTTTTAATTGTTTTTATCGTGGCTGAAAATTCTAGTTTTTCAGTAGGTCTTGCTACCAAGATGTTTAAATTTCATGCTTATTTGTACCTATTATTGTTTGTAAAAGAGTAGTTTAAATTATTATACCAAATCACATATTGCTAGATTTGTTTATAATTTGATTAACTTTAGTTTTAAGTTGTTTTTAACTTAATTATTTAGAATATCTGTAAATGTAGTTATTGAAATCATAAAGTTTATCATTAGCAAAAAAAGTTTCTTAAATGTGAAATGCATTAAACTTAATAAGCATAAAGGTAGATTGTGAATTTTTAAGACAGGATTGTGTGACACTGAAGAAGATCGATACAAATATCTGTTTGGTGTACAGGTAAAAATCTGTGATTTTATATAAAATTGTTAATATCTGGATGCATTATTGTATTGCGTTTTCTGTTGAAATTAATAACATCCATGTATTAAAGATTTCTTGTAATTAAAATTATGTTGTAAAGAGAAAATAAAATGGCTGATCGTGGGATCGCGTGGTTGCTTACAAACACAGTCTGTTAATGTGGTAGTCCATCAACATTCAGTCTGATAGGCACTCTAACATTTCACAAATTGATATCACAGTTTGGAAAACTTAGTCAAATATTGCAAGGCAGCATGATAGCCTCACACAACAATTTATTGGATTTCCTTTATTTGTAAAATAATAAAAAAAATAGTTTCTGATAGTTAGAAGCAAAGGAATCTAGGGAAAAAATACAACCTGTTTTTAATATAATGTGTAACCAGACTTTATTCATGTATAGTTATGCTTCAGGACCAACCGGAATCAGCATAGCAAAAATAAGGATTTAATATTTTTTGGAATACTATTGTACCTTTTGATAGATTTGTGGGTTAAACTTTGTGACACTTGCTAGATTTGAAAATCCTAGTTAGATTCTCTGAGTTAAAGTTCCTTAAGATCTACATGTGACACTTGCTAGGTTTGACAATCCTAGTTAGATTTTCCAAGTTAAAATTCCTTAAGATCTACATGTGACACTTGCTAGGTTTGACAATCCTAGTTAGATTCTCCAAGTTAAAGTTCCTTAAGATCTACATGTGACACTTGCTAGGTTTGACAATCCTAGTTAGATTCTCCAAGTTAAAGTTCCTTAAGATCTATATGTGACACTTGCTAGGTTTGACAATCCTAGTTAGATTCCCAGAATTAAAGTTTCTTAAGATCTACATTTTGTTATTGTGACAGTGAAAGAAAAACTTTATTCTTAAAGCTTGAAACTAAATTATTGTAATTAAACCTCATTATTGTGGTCTGGAATAATTTTCTACTAATAAGCAAAGAACAATCGTGACTAGTTATTTTTAACCTTTTACTATTTTACAATAATTCTTTACCTAAGCATTAGGCTAATACTGCTTGTTTTGAATAAACTACACCTTGAATCTTTAGAGAACGTGTGTTTTTCTTTGAAAAACTTAAAACATCTTTGTTTCAGTTTGTATGAGAAACTTGAACTCCATATCAATGTGAAATTAATTTTCAGCTACTTGCAAAAGAGAAATTAGAGGTCACCCTATCTTGCAAAGTTACTAATTATCTGTAATTTACGTAATACAAATGGAATTTTTTTGTAACCACACACACACACACACATTTATATATACCTTAATTTGTCGATATCTGTTAACTAGTTTTGTGCATATTATGTTAGTGTAATAAGTGCTTTGTAACGTAGCTATTTCTTACACTGAATGTTTCGAGTAAACATAGAAAAACATGATTTTTAGCACAGCAAATAAAATCTGACTTTAGAGCTATACCAAACATTGTGTTCAAGCATAATAAGTGATATGCTGGAAATATCAAGTATCAATAATATTTATGGACAATTGATTGTGGTCTTCATTGACCTTAAAACTGTTTTCACTCTTAAGCTAGTCATAGAAGAAGAAGAAAAAAAATTTAAAGAACAAATAACAGGTTGTTCTCCATGTTTTAAATCTTTAATAGTGAACTTCAGCTACAAATTTTTTTTTTCTGCATCAAAAGTTTCAAACATAGAGAAGTTCTATGTTTGTTAATATATGTTATAAATCAGAAATAAACTAGAAAAGAAGTGTTGAATATTTTCCAATTATTAGTGTATTTCATTTATAATTAAATAGTTACCATTCAGTAACTTACATGATTTAATTTCTTATTTTGTATTCCATACATTGATGCTTATAAGGGCTGGCTTTGAGGTGTTTTTCAGATTTATTTTTGTGGATAGGACAGCTAGATGGACCAAAAGGTCCCTTGTTGTCCTTTAATGTTATATTATAGTGGGGCTACTGAAAAACCACTGAACAAAACTGTAAACCCTGTATATGATAGAAACCAAGCATTCAGTTACTATTATGTCATATGGGTTTTGGTTTGAGTGCTTTTTCGGGTCAGTGGCATGGCACCTTACTAAGAACTTAAAATTGGCACAACTTCTAAAAAGGTTGGCCACCCCTGGAGTAAACAGATTTTCATTTTTTAACCTATCACAAAGCAGGGAATGGATACGTATTTCAACACATCATTTGCAAAATTCAGTTTTCAAATAGTTTTAGTAAAATGTATTTTTGCATAACTAGCTAATTCTGAATAATCATAATAATTTATACCCCTGACATGTTCTGTAACTATAATGTTAATAACAATGATTTCTTCATGATTAGAGCATTTAAGTTTGATAATTATATTGTTAGTAGTAAGGATTATGCCTCAATTACAATTAGAACACTTAAGTTTGGTAATTATATTGTTAGTATTTAATTTTCCCCCAACTTAGTGTAATACAGAATTATAGCATAAGCTATTGTTTCATAATGTACATTTTTCATGATTATATACAGTTTAAATAATGTTTTGTAGTTTTTTGTACATGATTTTTATGTTAGTAAATATCATTCAGGTTTACATCTCAAAGCCCATTCTTCCTTTGGCTGTGGTTTTGCTAGATGGTAAATATGGGCAGTGGGAATCTCGGTGATACATTTGTGCATATCATTAATTAAATGATCTTTTATATGTTACTAAACATGATTCTGTTGTCAGTAACCCAGAGATTCACTCAAACTGGCAAAACCAAATACAAACAAAATTAAAACTGTCACTCCTAAATCTTTGTTTTTAAGGTCAAAGCAACACCAGGTGCTATCTGTGTTCTGCCCACCACGGGTAGTGAAACCCAATTTTTAAGAGTCATAAGCCCTTACTTATTGCTAAGCCACTGGGTGGTATCTTCTATCTTATCAAATATGATTGTATTGTTAGTAGTCTGGAAGTTCACCCAAAATAAGCAAAATTAAATACATAAGATAAACATTGGAAGTTCTACTTAGTAAAACTAAATTCTTTGTATAGGTTATAGGTAGCATCAAAAATAAAGTATTCAATAAAAAAAATTAATTAGTTTGAAAAACAACTGATTGATTGACTAAAGAAGAAGAAACGCTTTTAGAAGGTTAAATATAATAATGTTTTGTGTTTTGAAATTAATTTGGAGAGTTCCATGTCATTATGAGTCACTTAGAATTTGGCCACCAGTTGCTCAGTGGTAAGCCTGAGAGCTTATAATGCTAAAATTGGGTTTTGATATCTGTGGTGTGCTGAGCACAGGTAGCCCATTGATTAGCTTAGTGCTTAACAAACATTGAAATTTTAAAAAATATTTCATAAAGCAATCTGAAATTTTCCGTGATTGTTACTTTTGATGTACGTACTTATACCATCAATCTCTTTCCCAATGGGACAGTGGTAAGTCTATGGACTTTAAAAGCCAAAATCTAGGGTTTTAATTCATTGTGGTGGCAAGAGCATGTAGCCCAATGTGGCTTTGCTCTAAAACAAATAAACATCATCAGTATGTAATCAAACCTTTGCACTCTTTTAAATAAATAAGCAATTATCTAACTACACTAAGTGTGCTTTGAATTATGTTAATTTATTGTTCTTTAGACAGGATATGCTTAAAAACCTATTCTTTCTCTCGTGGCTTTGTTTTGGTAAGTAAGTGTCATGATGCTGTTACTTTTAAAACTAAAACGAAGTATGGCAAAAGCCTAATTTACTAAAAGCTTTTATAACACACTTAAATTATATTTTTAACTTTCACCAAACTTCAATGATATCCAAATGGTATCATTGGTATATACCAGAATTAATAGTCAAGTTGTTACTAATCTACTAGAATGTTTCTCTAAATGGCTTTAAAAAGTTTTTTGTTCAAAGAACTGAGAATGGTGTCCATAAATAAATAAAAACTGATGAAATAACATTATTTGTAATATTTAAGTATTTTTCCTATGTCATATTCATAAAATACGAATTTTTGACAAATTGGAGATGTGGTTTGTTCATTTGCTGACAACTGCATGTTATACACCTGCCACACAACACATTTCCCTCCCCCAAAATAGACTAAAGTTTGCATGTTTGTCTGTTGGAATACATTGCCCAAAGCCTGATATCTGGAACCTGCTACACAAGAAGAGCTAAGTCAGTGTAATGTTGGGAGTGTATATAGATGATACTTTAGTAGCTATCATACTGATGTACCTATATCATGACACTTCTGTGATGATGCTACTCTTTCACATCTCAGCTTTGGTATTATAAGGTGTACTTTATTGGAGTTCTTGCAAACCTAAAATATAATACTTGAATTTTTTTTGGGTATTCTGTGTATTATTTCTCAAAAAATGTCATGTTTTTTTTTAACCTTCATTTGTCTTACCTTTCACCCATTCATTCCTTTAAATCTTGCTCCTCACTTTCTGGCTGTTGGTTTGTTATAGGAGTGATGGTCAAATCACACTGTTCAATTTGAGTGCTCTAAGACCTGGTGGGGGGTGATGTTGACTGGCTACCTTCTATTTGATCAAGATCAGGGCAGCTTGCTCAGATAGCCCTTGTGTAACTTTGTGTGGATATCTAAAAAGTAACATCTGAAAACTCAAGTTATTGTTTCATGATTTATAGCAAGACAAATAGTAAAGTGAAATTTCTCATAACCATACATTATCCTTACCCATACAAGCAGTTTCTGACAATTTTGGTTGTTTCCAATCAGGTTACCATGGTTAAGTGTTTGGAAGTTACAAATAAATGAAACCCAATGAAAATCTAGCAAACAGCTTTGAAATGCAATCCTAACAATTAATATTGTGTATATAATAAACAAATACATATGAGAGTTATTTAAGCTTTGGCTTTTCTTGGACCGGAAATGTTGATAATCCGCAGCCAGTATGTTTAGTTTGTGGAATAAAAATGTCAAATGAATCAATGCTCCCTAGTAAACTTGTTAAACATTTTAAAAGTAAACACTCTCATTTTCAAGACAAACCCACAAGTTATTTTAAGAGAATGTCCGAACAGCAAAGAAAAGCAGCTGATTCTTTTAAAAGTTTAATGATTGTTTCTGATAAAGCTCAAATTGCTTCTTACCAAGTCTCAGAACTGATCGCACAAAATATGAAAGCTCATACTTTGGGTGAGTTACTTATT